GTGCTATACCAGTTGCTCCCTCTGACACAGGTGGAAGAGTTGGCATTCCTTGACAGGAGTCCAGGGTGCAGAATTTTTTTATTGTGTGTGTGTGTGTGTGTGTGTGTGTGTGTCTAAAATCTGCTGCTTTCAACCATTGGATTTCTTTCTTTTGTTTTCCTTACTCCTGATGATATTATTAAATATTTGCAACTCAAGTCAGATCTGATTCTTGCTTTTTCCTGTTCTAATTTTTTATTTCTCCCTCCTTTGACTTATTTCTGTACCATGTTTTTCCTCCAAGATGGCTGTTGCTTTGATAATTTATCTGTTCTAAATTTATTTTTAACTTTTCTGCTCTCATTGTCCTTATAATTCATTCTTTCTTAATAGTAATAACTTATATTTGCATAGTGTTTGCTCTATATTAAAGTACATTTACATGTTATCTTATTTAATTTTTAAAACAATCCTGGGAAATACTATTCTTCTGGTATTAGCTTGATGTGAGGAAAATAGTGAGGCTAAATGAATCATCTATTGTTGTGGGCAGTCACTAGCAGAGCTGATTCTTTTTTTTTTGTGGTGCTGGCGATTCCAGGGCCTTGTGCATACGGCAAACACTCTACCAACTGAGCTATATCCCCAGCCCCCAAGCAGAGCCAATTCTTGAAGCTATATTGTCTGACTCCAAGTTTAGTGTATTCTACTGTATCACAGTTGCCCTGTTAGCCTTAACAGTATTTCTCGTTTACAGAAATAAACTCTATAATGGAGCTATATTTACAAGAAATAGAAAGCCCAATGATCCATTTTCAGACTACAGTATTTAGCTTTTAATGTAAAATTACTGAGGATGTAAGAAAAGCAGCTGAAGAGAAAACAGAACAAATGGTTACCAGCAGTTAACACCTGAGTGTGACAGATTCACAGCCCTTCCACAAACAGGAGGTGACAGGAAGTGGGCTGAAGTGGGCTGGCCTGACCATCAAGATAAACTTCATAGTGCCAAAATGCACTCAATCATTGCAGAAAGGACTTCTCATCCCAAGAGAACAAAGGGAGATGGGTACAATTTAAGGTTACCATTTTTTTAAGTAACCCAATAGGAGACAGTAAAACCCAGAGAAGGAGAGATCTGGGAGGAGTGACCAGCCCTGAGGATCTACTCAGACAATGAGGAACCAGGGAAGAAGCCCTGAACACTAGGGAGTAAAATGCTGATTGAAACTGCTCTGGGTGTGCCTTTTCCCCCAGACACCCAATCTTGCAAGACTCAGTAAGAACCTTGCTTTTTGCTATACCTGTGTTTCTTAGTCATTTCTTTGGGTTTGGGCAGGTGAGCTTGTTTCTCACATTTATTTATTTAATAAAATTAATAAGCCAGGCAGGGTACTAAAGTCAACTAAAAAATTATATATATATATATTAGAGAGAGAGAGAGAGAGAGAGAGAGAGAGAGAGAGAGAGAGAGAGAGAGAGAAAGAGAAAGAGAGAGAGAGCGCTCTGGGGAGACAGCCATGGTGAAAGCATTTAAGCTGAAGGCTAAAGGAATGTTAGGTGGCCTGAGGAGAAGGTCCATCTCACAAGCAGAGAACCATGTTAAAGTAACTTGGAATCAGGAAGATATATAGTAACTGTGGGAAAGAAAATATTTTTTTCTGGAGCAGACTGTGTGGAAGGTAAGTAGGGAAGAAAGGTTGACTAGGGCCTGGAGCCCCTTAAATGCCAAGGCCAACATTTTAGAATTGAGACATCCTTGGCAGTGGAACTAGTACACACACAACCACTGAACAGGGGAAGACTTTGGGCAATACTTTTATTTTTGGTACCAGGGATTGAATCCAGAGGTCTTAACCACTGAGCAACACACCCCCGCCAGCTTCTAATTTTGTGACAGGGTCTTCTTAAATTGGCTTAGGACCTCGCTAAATTGCTGAGGCTGACTTTGAACTTGTGATCCTCCTGCCTCAGCCTCCTGAAACACTGGGATTACAGGTGTGTGTGGTGGTACCCTGCTGGGGCAACGCTTTTTTTTTTTTTTTTTTTTTTTTTAAATAGAAGGGGTCTAAATCAAGATATTCAGGCAGCCAGGCATGGGGGCTCAGATTGCGTGGTAGAGCAACCTATAGTTCCAGAAGGCTGGAGGACTGCTTGGGCCCAGGAGTTTGGGACCAGCCTGGATCACATGGCCAGAATCTAGTTTAAAAAAATAATAATAATAAAGCATGGGCTGGGGCTATAGCCCAGTGGCAGAGCACTTGCATAGCATGCATGAGGTGCTGGGTTCGAACCTCAGCACCATATAAAAAAATCAACAAATAAAATAAAGGCATTCTATCCATCTACAACTACAAAAAAAAAAAAAAAAAAAAGTAGGCAGAACAGAATTTTGGCAGGCTCTGGTGATAAGAGTAGACATTAGGCAACTAGTGCTTAGCCTCAGGACAGTCTAACCTTCCTCTTGGAAGTCTGTGGGTGTGAACACAGGAAATAGGCAGCAGTAAATAGACAAAGTCACAGAGACTGGAGAATTTGGTTTTATAGCAAGGCAATGAATGACACAGCAGGGCTTGCCCTTCCAGGGAAGACTCCACACTTAAGAACCAAGAGAGCAAAGGTATGTTGTGGGAGGCAAAAGAACAAGAAATCAGGTACAGAGATTAAGCAATAGTGCAAGAGAATAATGGTAAAGATGTTCCTGAGTCAAAATCTTTTGAGACAGGAATTTCTTATAAGCCATACAGGCAGGTCCTAAAAGCTTAAGCTGAAGGCTGGAACCAGGACTTGTTCAGCCTAGTTTTTTTTTGTTTTGAAAAAAACAATAAACACAATACTTTCACAATGTAGATATATAAATATACTCATTTTCTTTCTTTCTCCCCCTTTTTTTCCCCTTTCCGCACTAGGGATTGAACCCAGGGACTCTTTATCACTGAGCTGTACCCCCAATCCTTATTTTTTATTTTCAGACAGGGTCTCACTAAATTCTAGGGCTGACCTTGAACATCTAATTCTCCTGTCTCAGCTTCTTGACTTGCTGGGCTTATAGGCACGGGTCACTGGGCCCTAGTCTCATTTTCTTTTTGGGCTTTACAAATATTTGGACTAGATTTATTACAAAGAAACTTTGAAAAAGGCATAAATAGTAAACTAGTATTAGTTAGGCATTTTTTTCATTGCTTGTGCTTTTTATCAAATATTACTTTGTGACTCTAGGTTTATCTTTTAGGCCTACATCCTCATTTATTATTGTTTTTATTTTGGTATGGGGGATTGAATTCAGGCGCACTCAACCACTGAGCCATACCCAACCCTGTTTTGTATTTTATTCAGAGTTGCTTACCACCTTGCTTTTGCTGAGGCTGGCTTTGAACTCTTGGTCCTCTGCCTCAGCTTCCCAAACTGCTGGGATTACAGATGTGCACCACTTATTATTATTTTTTGAGGTAAGGTCTCACTAAGTTACTTAGAGTCCTGCTAATTGCTGAAGCTGACCTGGAACTTGAGATTCTCTTGTCTTAGCCTTCTGAGTCTCTGGGATTCCAAGCATTTACCACTGTGCTCTGCTACATTAAAAAATATATATATTTTTATTTTTGGTGACAGGGTCTTTCTAAGAGAACCAAGAGAGCAAGGGTGTGTTGTGGGAGGCAAAAGAGCTTCCCAAGCTAGCTTTGAAGTTGGGATCCTACTGCCTCAGCCTCCAGAGCTGCTGGGCTTACAGCACCACTCCCTGCCATGTATCCTTGTTTTTTTTTTAAACAAAAAAATCTTTAAAAAATTTTTTTTTGTAGTTGTAGATGGACACAGTACTTTTGTTTATTCTTTATGTGGTGCTGAGGATTGAACCCAGTGCCTCACACATGCTAGGCAAGCACTCTGCTGCTCAGCCCCAGCCCCAGCCCTTGTTTTATTCTTTTTCTAGAGTCACAGGTCTCCCTTGTCTAGATCACTTTTGTTGGCTTCAGTGGCAGATATAAATGGATGCTTATGCCTCATACCAGTAAAACTTTTTTTGGGGTGGTGGTGGTGGTACCAGGATTGAACCCAGCCAGAGGCACTTGACCACATTCCTAGCTGGTTTTATATTTTATTTTGACAGAGTCTTGCTAAGTTGCTTGGTGCCTTACTAAGTTGCTGAGACTGGTTTTGAACTTGTGATCCTCTTGTCTCAGCCTCCCATACTGTGAAACTTTTAATTAATTTTACTAAATTAATACTAAGTATCAAATACTAAGTACTGGTGAGCCTTCCAATTCTTACCTTTATGCTGTTATTTGGAGGTTTTTCTTCCCTTTACTTTTTTGGAGATAGTCCTGGTTCCATCACTAATAGTGTAAACTTTCTTCTTCTTAGACTTCCCATGTGTCAATTATGTCCAGGGGTTGAATTACATCAAAGATATGACAGTTCTAAAATTCTATGCTCCTGAATCAATAATAAGTAAAAATTTCTAATAAATATAATTTCTGAAGTTTTAGAACATGGGTTCATTGGGGAAAAAGTTCTGATAAAATTATTGGTTATAACTGGGATATAGAATGAAGTTTAAAGAATTTTGTTTTATTTAGCTGCTCATTATTTCCTAAATTTACATAATAGTATTACTCTCCAAATTAAACTTTCTACATCAAAAAATCATACTTTTGGGATGGGGAGGTAGCTCAGTGGTAGAGCACTTGCCTGGCATATGCATAAGCCCTGGGTTCAATCCCCAGCACCAAAAAACAAAAACAACTTTCAAGATGCTTTACAATATTGGGGGTTGAATTTATCAGATTTATTTTGGAGGGAATAATCAAGCTAACACTGAAAATTTTGAGGTACTCAAGGGTTATAACTCTTGAATTGATGACAAATTTGTGAAGGACTGCTCATAGTTGGCTTTGTGATTTGCATAGCTAGCCTATTTTAGAATTGTTGATTTTATCATAAGACATTCCCAGCTGAATAAGAAATGATTCAGGGGATAAGTAGGTTTAAGAGATAAGACTATGAAAAACAATCAGAGAATCCAATCTAAGAGAGATATATATTAGAGAAGACAAGCATCTTAAGTCATGAAGTTTAGGAGTGTTTGGGAAGGAAAAAGAATGTAAGAAAAGTCTTTATTTTTGTTCTAAGGATGGAACATGTTAAGTGCAAGCTCTGCCACTTAGCTACACCACCAGCCTCCCATGCTATAGTTTTTTTTTTTTTTGCACTGGAGATTGATCTCAGGGGTGCTGTATTAAGAAGCTGCACCCCAGCTCCTTTTTTGAGACAGGGTCTCATTAAACGGCCTGGAACTTGCCATTTTTCTGCCTCAGCCTCCTGAGTAGCTGGGATTACAGGTGTGAGACCACACTCGGCAAGACAAGTCTTTGAAGAATTTGAGACTGAAGCATGATGACTGGAACTTCCCCAAAGACTCATTTTAATTACATATCAAATACACCAACATTCTGGTGACGGTGGGGTTGTGTGTAAAACTGTGGCTTCAAATTCTCTCTGAATCCTTGTTTCTTGCTTTCCAGACGTCCCAGAGTTTAATACTTTTTCAAGCTGAACCAGCTCACCAGGTTCAACCACTTTGAGATCACATCCTAGGCATGCTGTAGTGATGGAGCATACTGAGGTCAGAAGCACGTATTTTCCAACTATGGAAAAAAAGAAAAAAAAGGGGGGAAGGGAAAGTGTAAATAAGATTGTTGGGGAGCTGGGTGAGGTGGCACACACCTGTAATCTCAGTGACTCTAGAAGCTGAGGCAAGAGGATCCCAAGTTCAGAGCCAGCCTCAGTAATTTTGCGAGGCCCTAAATAATTCAGTGGGATCCTGACTCAAAATAAAAAAGGGCTGGGGATGTGGCTCAGTGGTTAAGCTCTCCCGGGTTCAATCTCCAGTACCCGCCCCCGCACCCCTCTCCTCCAAAAAGAGAAACACTGTTGCGGGTAGAAGAAGAAAAAAGGTAAGGCAAATTAAAAGAAAATGCACGGTTCAGGTGGACTTCACCATCTTTGGATTTTCGACAAGGTGGTACTACTTGGCGGCAGGGAGGGGCCCCGCCTCCTGTGCATAGAGTTCTTGGCGTCTCCAGGATTCCCAAGGACCGCAAAGGCCTGGAGCAGGTTCTACGCGCAGAGCACAGCAGCGAACCTTCCATTCGCGGGGAGATTCTCTCTGCGCCCAGGTGCTCCTCAGCCTTCCTTTTCTCGCCCCGGAAGGACGATTACATCATTCCAACCCGAGTAGCTTGGCCAGCTTTTCCATTTCGAACTCCTGCTCTAACGCCAATTTTTCCTGCTTAAAGAAACTGGGATGCAGCAGTAATATTTCTCTTGTCATGGCCGGCCCACTAAAGCGAGCACTCCAGGAGACTTTCAAGTTTTACAAAGAACCTATTAAGTGACACTGGCCTTTACTTTATATATGTCTACGAGCTGTAGCTACACAAGAAAACATGACCACCTACGCCCGTCGCTGCGCCAAGATTCTCAAGCGCTCCACTCCCAACAAACTCCACGCAGAGGTTACCCGGAGTAGTTCGCTGGGAGACCCCAGGAATGCAAGAGGGAAGCAGGGACTAGCCACCGTGCTGCGCCTGCGCAGTCACTAGGCAGCGCCTCTCGCGGGGCGTGCTCGTACCGCCGCGCACCCTATCAGGCGGCCACAGGGTGCGCGCCCGCGGCCTCGCCCTCTCTGGCCCCGCCCCCGGCCCCTCTCGGCCCGGCTTCAGACAGAGATCCTTCACTCCTGTCTTCGCCCCCATGTGCCCGCAACACTCTCTTGCGCGCGTGCGCAGAGGCGGACCGCAGGGCGAGGGCGCGAGGGAAGGGCGGGCGTACGTCCTTGCGTGCGTCTCAGGCAGCGCGCACGCCGGCGTGAGAGGGCACGGGGAAAAGGTGGCTCTGGCTGGGGCGGCTCGCCTTCCTGGGGCTATGTAGCTGGGTTCGTCCGCTCGCGGTCTTCCTTTGCTGTCCTCGCCGCGTCCCATCGCGGAGTTTCTGCCCGGGAGGGGCTGTCCTCCCGTCCGCCGAGCTCCCTCGACGGCAGAGCTCACTCGCTCGCCTGTGGGAGCGTCCCGGCCGAGCAGCCCTGAGGGGGGAGGGGAGGCCATTTTGTCCCGACCGACTCCCCGGAACCGGGCGGAGCGGCTGGGAGAGGCTGCGGAGCTGCGGTCGCCGCCCTCGGAGGCTCGGGACGCCGCCACCGTCGAGGCTTTCTTGAGGAGGCTGTTCCTTGGTCGCCCGCATCCTCTCGAGCCCTCCTTTTTTCCCACGCTTCCCCGGTCCTCCGGCCCAAGAACGCCCGGGTGAGGAGTTGGCCGTGGTGAGAAGGACCGATCCCTTGGGGCCGCAGGCGGCGAGAGCCCGAGCCGCTCCTCCCAATGGCGAAGAAGACGTACGACCTGCTTTTCAAGCTGCTCCTGATCGGGGACTCGGGAGTGGGGAAGACCTGCGTCCTTTTTCGTTTTTCGGATGATGCCTTCAATACCACCTTTATTTCCACCATAGGTAAGACCTGTGGGAGGGTGGCGGACGGCCTCTGTAGCGGCGAGCCGTTTTCCCTTACTCCAGACATCTTGCTTCTCGTAATATACGCCTTTGTTTCAGTGATTCCGATTCCAAACGACAGACCCAAGTTACTGTTTGAATCGGCTTTGAGCTGACTGGGGCGGGGTCTTCCCATGCTTCCCATCCGGTCTTCTGCTTTCAAGGTCTCCCCCTTTGCTCTGTGCCCGCTGACACAAAATATGCAGCAGTTTACAACGTTCCAGAATCCTGCCTTGTTTCTTTAAGTGACTTGACTGGCTTTTTTCATATTTGTGTGGAATTGCTACATGTGTGACATTTTTAAGAGAGAGATTTTAGTGTTTCGGGCTGAAGCAATACTAGCTAGGTGGTAAAGGCCCTAATTTATACTTGGGGGCAAAAAGAAGATTGCATATGGTCACAACTTGGAGTGAACTTGAGGGTTTGTGTGAAGAATAATTAAGGCAAATTAGAGGGGAAAAGTGAGTTGGCCGCGTTGACTAATCCATTGATGTGTCAAACAATCGGAGGCTCTTCGTGCTTGGGGTGGGAATCTATGGCGTGTTTGCCTCATAGTGTTTTTCAAGACATCAACAGAAACAGTAATCTGAGAAACATGATCAGCTTCTGTCCTCAACTTGACAGAATGGAGTTTTCTTTTCTGGTTTACTTGATGCTAGAATTTACAGTAAAGTGTGTTGTTGTTCACAGCCTTAAGGACTCCTAAAACACTTTGACCACATGTTTCAGAATTACTTGTTGTGAAAGTAAGAGCTAAAGGTTGACCTTTTAATCGGTTTCCCGTTTAGGAAAAGAAAAGGGAAGGCTAAGAAAGTCCCTTTTGACTCTGGCACTAACATGACTTGTGTGCTAAAGTAATTGTGCATGAAGTTCACTTTCTACCTCCCACAATCCTTGAAGAACACCTGGTTGTCTGTCATTGGGAGCCCAGCTTCTGCATTGGGTCAGTGGAATAAAACCCTTTTTAAAATGTAACTAATTTTATAATGAGATTATTTAGAGAGGTAACTGCTGTAGTCTTTGAACTCTGGGAGTTGTCAAAATTAAATTGGTTTCAGCCAATTAATAGCATTATAGCTGGTTGGGATTTCTTATGATATTTATCAGCAATTTAACTCATTCTCATAAAACAAGTTATATTGAAATAAAATTGGACAAGTAATTAAATATGTTTTTTATTTAAATCACCTTCTTGGGGAAGGGGGCTTGTCATCATCATTCCCTGGGTACCATACTGTTGAGATATCATGATACTTAGAACTTGTTAGCACTTCTTAGCACAAAGTTTGCTTTTAATATTTTGCTTTTAGCTGTAGCTGGGTGGGTCAATCAGCAAATACCTAATGCTAGGCACTTTCATAGGCACTGTGGAGAAGTGGTGGACGCTGTAGACCCCTTGAGCATTCTGGTGAGGACAGTCAGCAGTGTGGACAGTGCTAGAGTAGTAAGCACAGGGAGGAGGGGACTAGTCTGAATTGTGAAGAGTCTGAGTAGTCTTGCTTGGACATGATGTCTTAAATGTGTTCTGGCCAGGCATGGTGTAGTCCCAGTGACTTGCCAGGCCGAGGCAGGAGAATTGCAAGTTTGAGGCCCATGTAGGCAACTTAGCTAGACCCTGTCTCAAAATAAAAAAATATAGAAAGGGCTGGGAGTGTAGCTGAGGGATAGAGTGCCCCTGGGTTGAATTCCCAGTATTGCAAAAGAAAAAGGAAAGAAAGAAAGAAACAAAAAACAAACAAACAAACAAAAAAAAAAAAACACAATAAAATGAAGTCTGAAGGACAATTAAGAATTGGGCCAGAGGGATGAGATAGTCTTTCTGGAGAGGGGGCATTTAATTCATGTGATAAGTTTTAACCAGCCTTTGAGAAGGATGGCATAGAGAGAAGGCAGCAGAGCAATATCTTCATCTACTCTAGTTTTTTTTTGGAAAACCCAATCCTGTGAGAAAATGGCATAATTTTTGTGTGTAGTCCTTTTACTTGGGAAATGTGTAGTGGTTTTGCATCAGGCCTGCTGGGTAGGAATCCTAGTTCCACAGGTTATAGCTCTGTAACTTTGGCAAGTTACTTAACCTTTCTCTGCTTCAGTTCATTCTTTTGATCATTCCTTCCTTTGGATTGAACCCAGGGGTATTCTACCACTGAGCTAGCACTTTTTTTTTTTTTTTTTTTTTTTTGAGACAGAGTCTCCACCTAGTTCTCCAGGCTGGCCACCAACTTTTGATCCTCCTGCCTCAGCCTCCCAAGTCACTGATACTACAGGCACATTCAACATGCCCAGCTTCTTTAGAAATAACATTAATAATAGTATCTACTACATAGATAGTTGTTAGGATTTTATAAATGAGAGTAAAGTACTTTGGGTGGTGCCAGGCAGTTTTTTGTAGGAGCTTGGGGCACAGTGTACAATAGCTATATATAGAATATGTGAGTCTTCTTCTGTGAGACAGAAAGTTACACAATGTTACTTTATCAATTGAATGTCCCACACTTGGTAGTCCCTCAAATGTTTGTGTTCTTTTTTTTTTTTTAATATTTTTATTAGTTATTGATGGACCTTTATTTATATATATGTGGTGCTGAGAATCGAACCCAGTGCCTCACACATGCTAGGCAAGTGCGCTACCTCTGAGCCACAACCCCAGCCCTTGTTTGTGTACTTTTAAACAATTTCATTTTAGTCTCTGATGTTTATGTATTTTGATAAAAGATATTGACTAGTGTAGGCTGAGTACATCTTCAACATATATGAGCTCTGTGCATAGATTTGGTAGTATACTATTGTCTTAACCAGTGCTGTTCAAAAGAAACGTGAGCTGCATACATGATTTCACTTTCTTTTTTTTTTTTTGGTAGTGTTGAGAATGGAACTCAGGGGTGCTACACTATTAAGCTACACCCCCAGCCCTTTTTATTTTTAATTTTGATACTGGGTCTGGTTAACTTGCCCAGGTTGTCCTCAAACTTTTGATCCTCTTGCTTCAGCCTCTCAAGTGATTGGTACAGGTCTGTACCACTGCTCCTGGCTAAATAATGTTTTAACTCATATCTAAGATGTTATTTTATTGTGTAGTCAATTTTAAACAATTGAGTTATTTTACACTATTCTTCTCCAGTGTAATCTATACTTACAGCTCACCTCAATTTAGATTAGGCATATTTCAAATGCTCAGTAGCCACATATGGCAGTAATTACCAATAGTTCACGTCTAGACAATCCAAAGCCAATTGATTAATGTGCAGATAACTAGAAGTACTCTGAATATATACTACTTTTTAGGACATTTAAAATATTAGTTGAGTGGGTAATTTTACTTATTTATTTATTTGTTTTGAGGTGCTGGGGATTGAACCCAGAACCTTGTGCAACCAGACAGGAACTCTGCCAATGAGCTATAACCCAGCCATTGTTTTTTCACTTACAGCATTCTCTAAGTATAAATGATAGAGATGTTTGTGAGTTATCATTTAATTGTTATTGTTTGTTTATTTGTTTTTGGTGCTGGGAATTGAACTCAGAATCTTGTGCTTGCTAATCATGGGCTGTATAACTGGGCTACACCTCCAAATCCAGCATCTGAGATTTGGTGGTTTTTTTTGGGGGGGGTTACTGGGGATTTGGGGATTGAACCCAGAGGCACTGAGCCATATCCCCAGCTCTTTTTTGTATTTTATTTAGAGACAGGGTCTCATTGAATGGCTTATGTTGGCTTTGAACTTGTGATTCGCCGGTCTTTAGCCTCCCAGCTGCTGGGATTACAGGCATGTGCCACCACATCTGGCTGAGGTTTGTTACAGAAGTAGAAGTAATTATTTACTTGTGTTCAGAAAGCCCAGACTCTCAAAATAAGGTAGGTACTCATTATTTCAGGCACAGTTTTTCTTTCTTTTTGGAACTGGGGATTGAACTCGGGGGCACTCAACCACTGAGTCACATCCCCAGCCCTATTTTGTATTTTATTTAGAGACAGGGTCTCACTGAATTGCTTAGCTTAGTGCCTTACTATTGCTGAGGCTGGCTTTGAATTTGCAATTCTCCTGTCTCAGCCTTCGGAGTCGCCATTGCGCCCAGCTACAGTTGTTTTTCTTTCATTATTTATTTTTTTAAAATATTTTTTTTCTAGTTGTATTTGGATACAATACCTTTATTTTTATTTATTTATTTTTATGTCGTGATGAGGATCAAACCCAGTGCCTCACCCGTGCTAGGCGAGCACTCTACTACTGAGCCACAACCCCAGCCCCTACAGTTGTTTTTCTTAATGAGGATCGGTTCTTTGAAGAAATAATTTTTGTAGATATATAGTGTTTATTGTAGTTACAAAGACTTGAATTTATAAAATTTTCTGTGTTCTTTCAATTCTCACATATTTGTAATTAGAAATTATGTAAGATATTTGTGGTCAGACTTATTTCGGACAGAAATAATTGCAAAAACAAGTTCCTGGTATGTTCTGCACTAAACCAATCTCAAAGCAAATTGAAGACACTGGGATATAAGTTGCACAAGAGCAGAGATCTTGGTATTTGTTTGGCTGATAAGTGTGAAGTACCTAGAAGAATCCCTGTATTTAATGGGTGCATAATAAATAAAGGCAGGCAGATACATACAATCAGGATCCTTTTAATATAGGATTGGAACTAGTTTAATGTTTTTCTTTTCACCTACTTCCTGAATATTAAGTGAAGTAGTTTGGGATCAGATTTTACTTAAGACTATTAGCTAATATAATTTTACCGCAAACTTGGTCTTTGCAATTGAAAGATTGTAAAAGTTGTTTAAGAAAGTTGCTTTTTGTTGGATAACAGATTTCAGTGGCTGATTTGGTTATACTCTTTTGGCAGTATGAGCTCAGGAATGTATTCCCCATTAGTGATTTGAGAGTCACATAAACTTGTCTCAAAAGCACAAATTTTTAGTAAGGTGTTTCCTTTGGATATGCCATCTTTTGATGTTGC